GAGTTTGCCATGTTTCTTACCCGCACGAACGAAACAAAACTGACTGACAGACAATTGACAGGCAGGGTCAGGCCACACCGATCAGAAACTCCGTTCGCCCACGAACGCAGTTTCCTAAAAGAACAATGACCTCGGGCAGGCGAGATTTTCTTCGCTCCACCCCTCCCCTATCCTTCCTCTTGCCTATCATTCACCCCCTTGGTAAAACTTTCTTTCTCTCCCCAGTCTTCCACTGCATGAAAAATTTAAGATGGCAGCTAAACTTTTTATGATGTGAGCGCTCGCTCGCAAAAATCTCACCTGCTCTGCAGGCTACACATCCCTGTGTTTATATGACATTGCATCACAAAAGCCACTGGTTTTTGCAAATTTGGTTTTTGAGAAATTTAATCTTAAAATTGACATATTATCCATTATCTATCGTCCATCTTCCAAAATCCATCGTCTGGGTTTTAGCACATGCCATTACAAATTGCTATAATAGGAATCCTATACTTTTTATTTTTATGTTTTTTATTTGCCACACAAACATAAATAGAATTAGAGTACAATGATTAATAAATAACAATTTAAATTAATATATAGAGGATATTACACGATGGCAAGAAGATATGAACTTTATGTTCAAGTGACAAGAACTGCCTGTGCTCACTCTTGAGATATTGTTCTTGTCACAAGAACATAAAATTGATATCTTTAAGCTAACATGTAATGTTCTTTTTATTATATAGACTTTCTGATGACGGCGTTTTTGACAATTTTCCGAAGATTTCCGGCCACTTTCCGAAGATTTCCGAAGATTCTTTAAAACTTGTCTGAAGGTCACAGGAATATTGCTGCACATTTTCCGAAAAGTTTGTAAAGATTACCGAAGATTTTTGAAGATTGCTGGAGACTTTTGAGGAAGACCCGAAGATGTTTTGATCATACACCAACGAATTTAAGTACAATTTAAGAGACAAACTTGATATCAGTGAAATCATCGATATCTTCACTAGTGAGGATATGGAAAATATGCCACCCGAGTCCCGGATGTGGTTTCGTATGAATTTTATGAGTGGTGTATTTTTCAGTAAAACACTCGTGTTTATGTAATAAACAAGATTACAATGAAGATACAAAGCTACAATTTATATATTAAAGGATAGAAAACAAAATGGCGAGGGAACCAAATAAAAACCTCAGGGCTTGTAAGGTTCCCTCTCAAGAAACACCAGATGACTAATTTAGATAATAATTAATGACAAGCCTTATTTAATGACAGAGTTAGTAGTTACTGATAATATATGCTTTAATTTTTTTCTNAGATGGCGGCTAAACTTTTTACGATGTGAGCGCTCGCTCGAAAAAATCTCGCCTGCTCTGCAGGCTAGCTCATTCGTTATCAGACATATAATTATTTTTCATGGCCAGTTTAAAACTTTGCATATAAACATTGATTAGATATATAACTGAACTCATGTTGTAACTAGGTAATATTTTATTTTGCCATATATCGACCACGATTACCGCAGTTTCCAAGCACAAAGAAAATATCTTAACAGCAACTTCCATTTAGCGCGAACATATGCTCGGATATTTGTCCGAGGACGTAATCTGTTCCGAGAAGAAAAACTCTAAGCTTCGAAGAACTCAGTGATGTCCAAGGACAAATAACCGAGCATATTTTTAAAGTCAAATGACGGCTATTGTGTTTATTATACCTCACATATTTTTCGCAACTCGCAGGATCTTATGAAAATTGGAGAATATCACTCGGAAACTCCCTCAGTTTTAGCTGGAGAATGTTCAGTCACGTGACGCGCTTAGACCAATCGTGTGCGAGCAAAAATATTCGATGGATTGTGAATATTGTTATAATAACAGTATATAGTGTCAAATATAGGAAATTCTGCGATTTACAAACTTGTCTCGACGTTTCCACACCAGATTTGTGGAACTTAAGTGTAATAACAGTAGAACCCCGCCATATATACGGCCATCCCATTCTGGCCCGAAAGTTAGTCAGTCAAAGAGTAGCCTCTTCCAGGCGTTCAGTTAGTTGGGAGGCAGCGCGGAAAACAGCGCGGAAAACAGCGCGCAAAAAAATTAATAAAGCGCGGCGAGAGGAAGCGAGAGAACGCCTGTGGGCAAACTCCTCTCACCGAATTTTTGTTTTTCGCGCTGCGCCCCAACTAGCTGAACGCCTGAAAGAGGCTAGTCCAAGAGAAACGTCTTGGTCAGTCATATTCTTATGCAGAAGCCCTGCAATACGGTCAGCCCGTTAATACGCCCACGTGGCCAGTTAGTGACCGAGTTCCATTGTATATCTTAAAAAGAATTTCAGTTTCGGAGTCAGTTGGTAAAGTTGAATTACTTTACACACGTAGAGTACAGTCTACGTAATAATTGCTTCGTTGGAGGGAGAGTCGGCTTAACTTCGGTCCTACAAAGCTGCCCTCCTCGCAGTATTTGAGCTGGCTTCTCGGATTAACCAGTAAGGGTTTTTTTTTCAGATTAAAAAAAAATAATAATAATTCCATTCCCTGCAGGGGCCGTGAACTTGTCATATATCATGTAGCGATTTTTCTTTATGCTGCGTGTTTATTACCGAATAGGACGTGCTAGACTGCAAAAACAAAAAGCTTGCCAGCGTCATTGACCTGAAATCAGTGATGGATGCGTTTCAAAGCTGCCTCTTTGTTCTGACTCTTTTCGCTTTGCTGCTTTCTGCTGTCACTCTCATGCGATCGAGCAACACGTCAGCCGAGTTATTCCTTATCCAGAGAAGAATTGAAGAACTGGAGGTTCACCTTTCTAAAGGATTCGCCATCCCAGATTTTCCCCGTGAACCTGGTAAGTAGTTAAGCGATTGTTCTTGGATTCCTAGCGTATCAGTTTAGATTTTGATGACAGAGGATGAAGAAACAATGTTTCTACCTTCTGTCGGTTTCAAAAGGAAATGAACTGACCAGCACTTCCACAAAATGATCTTTTTTCTCCCGTTCAGTGCCGTGATCTTCTCAGGGGTTCTAAGTTAGCAGGTAATAAAAGCTTACTTGATCTACACTCAGTGTACAATCATTCTTGCCCTTCCTTTACACGGACACCACGACACCGACAGTTTCTTTCGGAACCTGATAAATTTAGCACCGTCAACATCAAAGAAGCCAAAATTCACCCCCTCAATTTGGAAATCTCTATAATGTTTCCACATTTCAATTGTGGCTTACATGTACATTCGCCTCAAATCTAACGGTGATCTGCCTTGGGGGAAAACGCATGCAATGACACTAGCTAAAAGCATACGACAGACAGTCTTCGTGATAGTAATATTGACAGTATGGGAATAGAAATAGCAATGTCTCATGAAAGGATTGCCGAAAAATTATTCTTTTCGTGTTTTGCGTCAGCACTTCCTGTTTGCCCGCTTGGAGAACTCATTATCTCTTTTGATGAGATGATAATCGATGACAAAGTCCCTTTAAAATTCCCCATGCCACTGCATGCCTTCTCAGTTGATTTTGCGTAAAAAATGGTTATGAGAATTAAGGATTTAATCACCGCTTGGTGTGGATAAAACGATTTATAAGCTGCGAGCGGCAAGCGCCTTCTGAATTCCCGCAGAGGCGAACTTTGCACCGGACCGTTGGTAGTGTTCTTAAGAGAGCTTAAATGACGAGAGTTGCCATATTAGTTGCCAGCTGGAAAGTTGGTGTAGTTTCTCAAATACCATTAAAAATTTTGCCTTGTTTTAAACTAGGCCAGGATGGCAGGTCAAGCATCGACTTATCACCTACTTAGAATAAAGGTTTGCCGGCCAATATGGGGGGGGGGGGGGGGGGGGGGAAATACTCCCTTATATGGACTGTAGAGGTATGTGCCGTCCCAAATTCAGGCCCAAAGGGTAGGATTTTTCAGCCGTTTTGGTCATAAATAGGGTATCGATTTTGGCCATTTTAGTCTTAAATATGGTATAGTTTTAGCACTCTAGTCTTGAATTGTGTATGTTTCTTAGAAGAATCTTCTTTTTCATCATTATTAACAAGACCATCAACAAAAGCCCTTCATAACTTATCTTTAGGGCGACTGTGCCAGCCGCAACGGTCATAAATAGGGTATCAAATTTTGGGTCAGGAGCCCGTTTCTCGAAAGCCCCGGAACTTTTCGGGCCCGTAAAACCATTTTTAATTCATCTGTATCTAAAAACGGAGAAGTGTATACGCCTGAAACTTCTTGTACGAAGAGAACCCCTGTTCGTATTAAGAATATGTGAATAAAACAGCTCTGTAATCATAAGGTTGGAGATTTTGCTACGGCTTTCCGGCTGCGAGAACTTTTCGAGACCTTCGAGAAACGGGCCTCAGGTCATAAATAGGGTAGCAAAAATCGCAGATTTTGGTCATAAATAGGTTAAGGGTTTTGGGAAGTGGGCTGCACATCCTCACCCAACTTTTCTGGGAGTACTTCCCCCCGCCCCCGGGGGATACGCACTGTGCAACATGGAATTTCGAGAGCTGTTGTCTTATTCTTTGTCTACTACCGCAACTGAACAGATTTCCTAGTGTTATTCATGAAATTGTTCCTAACTCATACTATACAGAGTATTGCCCCACGAAGAAAAGAAAACACCTGAATTTATAATCCGTCATATATTTTCGCTGGCGCGCGATTGGTCTAAACGCGTCCCGTGACTGAATATTCCTCAGCTAAAACTGGAGAAAATCCGAGAGGTATTCCCCGATTTTCAAAACTGCGCGTGTCGCAAGCAATGTATTTGAAGGATAATGAACACAATGGCCTCTATTTGACACGAAAATATGCTCGGATATTAATTTTGTCCTTGGACATTGTCCGTTTCTCAAATCTCACAGTTTTCCTCGAGCTATGCTCTCGAAAAACTGTTCGCCGCTCGGAACAGAAAATGTCCGCGGACAAATATCTGAGCGTATTTTCGCGCCAAATGGAGGGTATTGTTTATATAACACTAAAAATAATTTATGCCCGGCCTAATACAGACGGATTACAAGAAAGCAAGCCTACAGATCACCAAAGAAGGTTTAGTAGAGATCTGGGGCCTGGTAACGAGTCCAAGCCACGGGAAAAAGCGAGGAAAGGCATCAATCGTAAGATGAAACTAGAAATAAAGAATGAGGTTCGCACAGTGATAGGATCTTTAACTCAATTGTTCTGTGCAACGGAAGAAAGACTTTGTCTTAGAGGTCCTAAAGGCGATAAGGGCGGTGAAGGAACTCGAGGAATTCCTGGAGTTCGTGGCGAGAGAGGTCTGACTGGACCTTCGGGTATTAAAGGACAAAAAGGTAAATCGACTTAAAGTAGAGAAGTCTCTAATTGTTACTCGAATATAGGGTAAAGCCACTCTAGGGCCACAATGACCCATTCTACCTGAGTTTATCGCGGTTTTCCGTAGTATGGAACGATTAGGGGAACTGTGAGTCACCACTAAATGGGATGCTAGTCCTTTACAGCTTACCTCACGTCGCGATCGATCTCTACCATCATTTAAACGAGAAGCACTTTGATAGTTAAATGTAATCATAGCATAATTACCCTGGCCAACGATTGAACCCAGACCACTCAATCACTGGGAAGGTAAAACGCTCACCATAAGGCACTGCGCATCAACTCTTTTCAGTACAATTAGTCCAGTATCACCAGAGAAATCAGTTTTCATTCACGTTATCTTGTTGTAAATCATCTTCCTTGTTTGGATAAGCCATATCGGCAGCTTAGGCTGCGAGGCTCTTTCCAGTACCTTTTTCTCCGACGCAAACAGATATCCACATATCTTTATATCTGTCATTTTAAATTGTTAATATCACCGTATTATTTTTTTAGCCTTCAACTCTATTCTATTCTTCCAGGTGACCCAGGCATTTCAGTTTCCACTCCTACAATCACTACACCTTCTAAAGTGGTAACCATTCAAGAGAAGCATACAACCTCTTTATCGTGCGAAGCCGAGGGACTTCCTTTACCAGACGTGACCTGGGTGCGACTCTATGGATCTTTACCAGGAGGTCGTCACGTGATACATAATAATGGTACTTTGATCATAAGCGGAATACTGCAACAGGACGCCGGAATGTATGTGTGCCAAGCTAAGAATGTTCTGGGGATGGCAAAATCAACCAACTTGTTGATCGTTCATGGTATGGGTAATGCTTTTGTACTTGTACTACATTCACTACCAAGTTCAATTAACAAAAAATTGTATTTTCATTTGGAAAACTACTTAAGACAAACAGCACCTCAAGAAAGTGGTGCTTTATACGAGCTTCCATTGGAAAAGTCGCACTGGCACTTGGGTTTTATCTACAGTCCTAACAGTAAGAACCACTTTCTACAGCATTATTAACAGTACAACATGAAAGGACTGCTCAGTAGCCTTCATTTGAGATCGAATAGTTGCACGCTCACTTGAGTTTTATTCAGTGTTTTTTGACAGTTACAACCAACTTCAGCTGTAAAGCATAATAAACAGTATACCATGAATTATGACACTACTGCTCAACAGCTTAGCGCCTACTTCGATCGTCCACTGGTCAAGACTGGAACAATCTTTTTCAGCCTAATAAACCATGATCACATGAATTTACCACTCAAGAGCTATCAGTTGAATCGTCACACTCCAATGTTTTCATCTCTAAACCTAAACGTTTTAACTACCTTATTCAGGACAATAGCAGTACCACATGAAAGTCTTACCTAATAGCCCGTTCTCTTAGTTGAATAGTCACTAACAACAGAGTTTTTTTAATTGTGGCTTTATAACGTACACTAGAGCTAGCTTCACTAATGCTACAGGTGCTTTAGGCAAAGTATCGTGACAAATTCGACTTGTATTATAGTGTGGGGAAGCAGATAACGGATAGCCTGAAACTGAAGTTACATTTTTGAGTTTGCCTGCTGCATAGTAGCCTTGAACGCCAAAATTCTCTCGGCGATGAGGAGATGCGAGGTGGCTTTGACAGTAGATGCACTGTAAGAAGCCACACATAACAAAACTTTTTTCATTTCTTTCTAGTTCCAGTTCAATTCACAAAGAGGCCGCGCCCCGTAACAATAGAGGAAGGGCAGAACGCAACTCTGAGCTGCAAAGCGTCTGGATTTCCCGCTCCCGTGATCAGTTGGGCAGCGTCATCAGCGAGGGGACGCATGCTCGCAAAGAACTCACTTGAGGGAACACTCGTGATCAACAATGCCACCCTGAAAGATAGTGATAGGTACACATGCACTGCAAGAAACGACGTAAATGAGGTCAAAGCTTCTGCTCACATTTCCGTACTCCCTAAACTAAAGTTTCTTGATCACCCAGTCGCGAAGCTAAATTCTTATATCGGTGGCAAAGTTTTGCTCCTCTGCTTAGCGAATAGTGGTATAGTGACTTGGTCTAGACAGAACCCTACTATGCCAGAGGCTCACAAGATTTTGCGCAACGGAACTCTGATGATCAACGTCACTTCTCTTGACGATGGCGGGTTGTACGTCTGCTTGGCGAAAAGCGAAGTTGCTGCCATAAACGCCAGTTCCGTTTTAACGGTTCACGCAAGATCGTGCAGTGAGTTGAGATTAGCGGGTTACAATCACAGTGGCGTTTTCGATATTAAGCCAGATCAGAATTCGCCGTATTTCCAAGTACGTTGCAACATGACGGCCAAGGGTGGTGTGGGCGTATCGATTGTCAGTCACAACTCGGAGCAAAGGACCGCCGTTAAAGGGTACGTGGCTCCTGGAAGCTATGTAAGAAATGTAACTTACGGCGGAGCGACCATGGCCCAGATCACACACCTCATCCAAGCTTCAGCCCATTGTGAACAATTCATAAAATACGAATGCCACCATTCGGTGCTCCTGTGGGAAGGTTCGCGTTATGGTTGGTGGGTGTCGCGTGACAAAGAGAAGATGATGTACTGGGGAGGAGCCTCTCCTGAGAGTGACATGTGCGCGTGCGGAATGAACGACTCGTGCGCAACTGGGGGAGCGTGTAACTGCGACGCAAATGATATGACTTGGCGCGAAGATAGTGGGCTGTTGACTGACAAGTCAAAACTGCCGGTGACGCAGCTCCGTTTTGGTGACACGGGCGATCCAAGAGTAGAGAAAGGCTTTCACACTTTAGGAAAGTTGAAATGCTATGGTATTGCTTAGAGTAAGGCAACGTCCACACTATGTCGGGGGAATTTGAAAACGCAGCTTTATTTCCATGCTTAGACCTACCGTCCACACTAATGCGTCACGAAAACGGAGCTTTTTGAAAATGCTCTTCAAACCGGAGGAATTTGAAAACGCCGGGTTTTCGTTTTCGTGTGGACGGAAAACATTTTGAAAACGGAGCTATTCGAAAACGATGGCGTCACGTTTCCCTCAAACACAACTTTAAAATGACTGGTGATTGTTGCGTTTCTATATTCCTCTCGGCGTTTTGTGGAGGGAAAAATTTGATGCCCTTTCAGAATGAAATCACCGTTTTCAAATTCGTCTGGCGTGGTATGGATGGGCCTTAGTTTACGAACCAAACTAATTTGGATGATAAAACGGACAATAAGATATAATATCAGTGTTGTTAATAGTTGCAAATTACATTGACTACATGAAATAATTAGCTGCATCAGTCGAGCTTAAATCAATTGCCTTCAATACTTGATTTTGTTAAAGTTCGGACTTCAAAAATTTGACAAAACTGTTTGTTAACGACTTTTGGAGACTTAACTGTTACGTGCTGTGAAATATATAGTGTGTGTGAAACACATTTCGCAAAGGGATGTAATCAAACAGCATATGGACATCGCCCGGGAAAAGTTCCACACCGGTCTAAATCATGATTCAGGTCCTGAACTTTGGCGCATCTCAAAGAATTTCTACATCGTCCGATAAATGTGCTAGATCGTTCTACACTGGTCTAAATCATCTGAACTTTGGGGCATCTCTAAGCGACTCATCATCGCTCGCGGGAAAGTTCTGCACTGGTTCAAATCCTGACTTATGTTGATCTTGGCACACCTCAACTGCTCTTCATTGCCCAGGAAAAATTTTACATTGGTCAAAATCACGATTAAGGTTGTGAAATTTGGCGGCATCTCAAAGCGACCCATCCTCGCCCGGGAAAAGTTCTTTACTGGCCGAAGTCGGGATTAGTGTTCTGAACTTTGGCATATCTCAAAACGGCTCTTCAAATAGTTCAAAAGTATCTGCACTTTTGCTATGTTGCCGCCATAACCAACGTGTTGTCCATCGTTGCTCTTAATGTTCCGAGTAACTGTGGAAGTCTCAAACACAGGGATATTTCTTGCACGGCAAAACTTGGACATTTCTTCATTGAACTTTGCAATGGGTGAGTAATTCTTCACGCAGTCAGAAGTGAGGAAGTTATCGACTTGGTGGATAGTCGCCCAGATTAATAGTGGTCTATCGTTACCACTGTTTTCAATCAAAGAAAGGAAAGGTTTTAGGTATTTCGCGATAACCATTGTGGCATTTAAGTGGATGTGAATACCTACTCCGAGAACAATGATCGCCTTTCTCTTCCCAAGAAGATTCTTCACCGTTTTAACGGCTAAAGGAAACTGGTTCACATTGTAGGCTTCGACGAAATAACTTTTAAATCGCGCCTTTCCATTGCAGAGTTGATTTGTATCGAGCTCCTCCAAATCACGGATGAGCTTGAGATGGCACGAGTGCTTTCCTGCAAAAAACTGTAGTTCTCCACTGCATTGCTCTTTTTCCTCCTCAGAAAGAGTGCTCCTCAATGCACCTCTTACCGGATCACCAGTTATCAGCAATGTCAGAGTCAAGAATAAATGCCCAATGAATGAATCACCAATGAAGACCAAGTCCGACACGTGCTCGTTCAAAAGTGCACAGGTGCTATCGCTGTTAAAATGTTGAAACGGGCACTTTTGGCTGGAAGGCTTCCAATTAGCAAGCTCCGCGGCGAAATACTTACTAAAGTCCTTACAGTAAGGGCACAAGCAATCCGCGTTAGAATTCCCACAGAGTCCCGTGGCTTCGTTGCAGCAAGGCTTCTCGCTTTCCTCATCGCAGAGTGACGGTAATCCCGATGGAAAGAGACGATTTATTTGCCCGCAACGACCATCTTCCCTGTGCAGCTCCCTTGGAAAGTCAAGGTTTTCAAGGATTCCTTTGTCCACCTCTCGTCTCTCATGTATCATTTTCTTCGTCAAGCCAGGTTTAAACTCCCATGATCCGAGTGTGTAGCAATCCAGCAGACGATTGCAGATATCACCATTCCACCCGGCAAATTCTGCTGCAATTCCCTCTCCACGAAAGTGTTCGTCTAAATTTGATTTCCGATGATGCCTACTTATCCATATTATGCCATTAACGACCACCAAAAGAACAATTAAGCCAGAGAAAAGACGGAAGAATTGTTTTCGTAGTAACATCCTGCAAAGCGACGTATTACAAGTTTAATATATATTTTTTTCATTTGAAATCCAGATTTCTTCTTAATCCATGGGAATAAAAGTGTGAAAACGAGGGTGAAAATCTGAATGTTATGCACCAGTCATTTGAAACCCCCGCAACCCCCATTGGGAGATACCCGGGGCAAATCGGGGATTTTCACCTCGTTTCCACTCGATTTAGGCTCCCCAGTAGTCGAGGAATGCAACTTTTTTCAGGGCTTCGCCTTACAATGCGGGGGCTGAGAGGGGGTTTGGCGGGGATATCACTCGCGGTTCGCGACCTCTTTTAGAAGACTGGGTTCAAGTTGCATGTTCGCAGAAAACATGGAGGCTGAACAACTGACAAAGCAGGTATGATTTCATGCTTTGACTTGACTTCAGTGATATGAAAAAAATCCTGTGAAACCTTCAGTTACTAAAAAATTATGATCTATTTAATGAATTGTGCTTGATGTTTAGAGGGAGGGGGAGTTCACTCCGAAGTTTTTTCTCCCCAAGACGGGGCTTTCACTGCATGTCACCGGCAGTAAAAGTGAATGCCCCGGGTATCCCCCAGTGGGGGGCTGCGGGGGTTTCAAATGACTGGTGCATTAACTGAACGGTAATGTGAGGAAAAAATCCTCACAGATGCGCTTAAATTATGAAACAATATGTAGTAAACAGTAATAATATGGATAGATAGAATAAGAAGTTAAAGCTCTTTATTATTTGCGAAAACTATATGTGGTGTTAATGGCTTAATTTTATTATACAGATGTGTTTGGGTGACAGACTGCTCTTCGAGTGGTAAATGTTATGCTGTTGTACAGTTGAACAAGATTGCCGTGATCAGGCTCTCTTGCACGATCGCTGCATTATGGTCGCTGAACATTTCGGGAATCGTAACTACTACGTTGATATCAAAAGCCTACATGGCATTAACAATCGAAACTTCTTATTCGATTGGTTTTACAGGAGGTTACTTTTGTAAACCCCAGATAGTCGGATATGAGAGTCAATTTAAATTTCATATTTCTTATTAGTGTCGTCATAAGACCTATAAGCAGTGAATTTGCATCGAAACACATTTCTAGCAATTTCGATAAGGTTGATGCAAATTGTGAAATATTTCACACTTAAATTTATCATTCAAGTTCTGACTTGCTGTTGGGATCTCTCTCATTTTATCGTTTATTTTTCCAGTCTACTTTTTTATCATAACACGATCATCTGAATCTACTGTTTACATGGCGTACTGTTGATTATGCTCTCTCAGGATCCGAGCTGAAACTCTCCGATTAGAGTTGTTTTATTTAAAGAGAACTTTAAAAGTAATAAGACATCAATCAGAATTGATATCTTACCTTCATTGAGCCATGCCACAATGCAACACAACTATCTGACTTGACTCTGCGGACCGCAAAAAATGGTTCTTTGCTGCTGCTTTCAAAACACTTCAGTACATGTCGGACACAAAGGTTTACGTTACTCTGTCTCCTGATCTTTCAACGGAAAATATTTTAAAATTAATTACAATAGAAACCAGGTAACATTCTCTCGCGTGTTTTCTTGAGGTTTTAGGCTGCCTAAGCAACTATGCAAGTTCAAAATCCCTCAACGAATATGCGACTAGCACGAAAATGCTTCGGCAGTACTTTCAAAGAAAAAGTCGATCATGACGTGATGAGCTCAGTTCTCAGATAAAACATTTGGCAATCAGTAAAACTCAAAATATTGAATTGTTAACTTGGTCGGCCATAAAAAGAGAAAAACACTCTTTCGGCGCTCCAAGACCTTAACATAACTAATGGGCCATTGTGTCGATCACACGCAATATAAAAAAACACACCTCCATAGTTTAGAAAACAGGTAAATAATCCGTTGCAAACTCACGAAAATATGGAAAACCAGTTTCAATTGTCACAAAGAAATGAAAGTCCGGTGTAAAAATTGACAAGTTTCGGGTTGAGTTCTATATTATCATGAGTTTGCAACGGACTTTTATGAAACTTCGCACATTCGCTACTGATTAGGCATGATAAATCCGGCGGTGAAGCTTATGTTTTTGATATCGTCAAAAAAAAAATCAATCCCTTTACTTATTTAAGTACGTTTTAATCATATCTTCTTCGGAAAATGACAATATCAATGAGATCAATAGATAATAGTTTCCAAGAGCGACCGTTTCTAGACAAAAAAAAAAAAAAACCCAGCAGGGTTGCAGCCTTTTTACCAGGGGTCTTGTACGTATCGTAGCTTCTTTTCATGGGCGGCTTCTTGTTCTCAATCACAGGCTCTGGTAGCTTAGTTATACTACAACAAATTGCACTTTTCTTTTTTATTTTCAATTATTTTTTAGAGCTGGTAGAAAATAAACTCGTTCCTAGGTTTTATCTTTTACCCCCTAAGGGAACGTACGTTTTTTATTGGGGGGGGGGGGG